ACATAAATTATCAAATTATGCGTTCAGTAGAATCCAAGAAATAATCATTAATTATTTATTAAGTCATTAAAAACCAATATTAAACTAAAAAAAAAAAATTTGCTAAAACAAAAAAAAGTAATACTAATGCAAAAAAATAAGTTGCTTGGCATTAAGACTTAGTTTGGTTTCTTCTTGCCCCAACTGTGTATATACATTTTATTTAAGTCTAATTTTGTAAATATTTTCTTTATGGCAAAGTACATAATAAGTTATAAAAAATTAATTATACTAATTAATCAAAACTTTATTTTAAATAATACAGCGTAATACATATTGTAAAAGGCTTTATATACAGCTGCCTGATAAATTGTAAATAGAAAAACTAATTTTAAAAAGTTTATTGTTTGCTGAGAGTGAGTATTGTCTTAAATCTGAGAGTTCTGATCTGCTCATCATCATTTTTAACCATTGTGTATAGAAAATTTGCAAATATCAAACAGAAACCTTAAGTGCTTTGTTGTTTTTTTTACAATTCTTCGATTGACTAATAATGAAAAACAGAATTTGGGGGGATTCTTGCAGTTTGGAAGATTTCTTTATTTGAAACCATGATGGAGCATAAACTTTAACAACATTAATGGGTAACTATTTCAGACTTGTGTTTGGAGAAACATATCAAGTGTATAAACAAAGAATTTTTATAAAATGGTTATCCATCAAGCATGATTCCATGGACCTATTTTACAATTAGCCCATTTGTCTATCTTATTCAATACATTATTCAATATTCGTAAAGAAACCTTTGATCATGAATATCTTTTATTATCTCATCTTTTATTATCTCATCTGAAATATATCCTTCAGTGATAGAAGTTTGAATTGCTTCAAACTCTACTTAAGGTTGTTTATGAATTTTTTTCAGAGAATCTACTCCCAATTAGTCCACTAAAAGTTTGTGGACCAGTTGTTTTTCCATCTAATTTTTTTAAAAAGGGCTTTTAGTTAGAGTTCATTCTGATGAAGGCTCTAACATATTGTGCGAACTTTCTTTTCTATTAACTCTTCTAGATTAACCACCAAGCCACTCTCCAACCTAGATGCAGAATGTTCTAAAAGAATAGGTAGAATCTCCAGGTTGTTCTTCAAGTACACTAATGTCTCAAGATCAAGAACATCCCCAGTAGCACTAACATTGTTCTGTGTGTCTAGTAGATTCTGTGAGATTTTCCATCCTCATGTGTAAAAGTAAGGTGATGCTCTGCAGCAACACATTTTGTTATAAAATTTTTTCCTTCAGAATTGTTTGCTTTTAAGTACATTTTTTTGTTTTGATCAGTTTTTTTATCTAAATCAATGCAAAATAATTGTGTTTTTCCTACTGAATCTAAATTTTTTGAGTTTACTTTTACTTTTGACTTAGCTCTATGCAGGGTTGCCACTGGTCATGAAAATCATGGAAATTTCATGAAATTTTATTTGGTCATGAAAAAAGTAATTTAATTTCTAAATTTTCGTTGAAAGTCATGGAAAGTCACTTTTTTAAATGATCTTAATTTTTTTCTGCTTGTGATATTTTTAGGATGCAAAGAAAAGTGCTAGTAAATCTAATCTAAGTTTTTTTTGAAAAATTTTTTTTTGCAGTGTAGGTTATAGACTATCAGAGAAAACAAATAGGGTTTTTTTTAGACATGATTTCAGAACTTCCTATCAAATGCTTAGTGCATGGCAAGTACTGAATAATGAACAGGTCAGTGGTTTATCATAAAAGTTTATAAAGAGTCATGGAAATGTCATGGAAAAGTCATGGAATTTCATTTTCAAATCCAAGTCTGTCTATCTAATTTACACTTATCTGTTAGAGTATTATTGATATCAACTTCCGGTAATAATAGATGCTTGATATCATAGAGTAAGGCGGTTCCAAGAACTGCGCTGAGATTTGAAAAACATTTGCCTCTGACCAGCCTCATAGCATGTCTTGGAAAATTTATCGTGGTCCTTAAGTAAAAAATTGAAAATATTTATTATTAGTTGTTTTGTAATTTATAAAAGTTAAATATATACTAAAAAAATTAATAATTTTGGGCGAAGCTTATAAAATTTATGAGGATTTATTATTTCAGATATACATTATGGGGGATCTAATGATGAACTTGAGAGTTCATTATTAATATATTTGTGATGTGATGTATTTTTTTCCATCTGTTTAATCCTATTTTTGTGTTTTAAACTAGATGTATTTTATTTATCTACTCAAGACACCTAAATTAGCCCATTTGGTCCTGTTTTTAAACGCCGGTTTCGCATATAATCTCATTCTTCTATTGGGGTCTTTGCTCATTTAGGGCATATGCAATAAATATATTAGGGACCAGCGAAGTTGACTTTTTAAGACTCGAAGTTATATGATAGACGAATTTAGATTATATGCGTATACCGAATTTAACTGAAAGACGAAATTAAACCGTATATGTATCCCAAATTTAACTGAAAGACGATTTTCGAAATTCTAAACCAAATTTAACTGAAAGCCGAATTTGGATTTTAAAAACACATTTAATTACAAAATAAGTTTTTTTAAGATTTTTTTCAAGTTTTATAAAAAAATAAGTTTTTTTTTAATGTTCCGAGAAGATCTAACAGTTTTTCCATGGAGTACATCAGAAAAGTATTAAATTAGAAAGTTCAAACCTTTTTTCTTACCGATGATGCAAAATATGCCTAGAGCTTGCTTCGAACCCTAGGTCTATTGTTTCTAAAGCAAGTGCTCTGATTATACAGCAACCACTGCATAGCGGTTGCTGCATAATCATTTTTTATAAACTTAAGTTATTATTTTTTAGCTTGTAATTAACCATAATTTAAAACTTAATATAGAACATAAATATGTAGAACATACAATAAGTAAATTTAAGTTGCGTCAAAATAAAAAGTCTTAAAATTCAGTAATAATGAAAATTTAAGTTATAGAATCTTTACAACTCTTAATATCTTTGAACGAACATGAACAATTTTTTAATTTTTTTATTTTTTACCCAATTCATGTTCCAAAATTTGAGTGGACCACTTTAGTCGAGGAAGCAACTTCTTATATTGGTTACAATATAAGAAGTTCATTACATTCTTTTTTGCACTTGACATAAATATTGTTACATAACACAATATAATGAACAGCAACAAGCAGATATGTCAAAAAGTTAATCTGATTTAGAATCCAGGTTTCGTTTGATATTTGTTTTTTGCGTGTGTAATAGTTGTTTTTTTACAATTGCAAATAGATTTTTAACCTTTATTTCAATTGCCTTTGATAAACTTATCGTTTATTAAAGGCAATTGTGGATTGACAGAAAATCATAAAGATTTTAAAACACATGAAACGAGCCTAAAAATTGCCCAAAAGTTTGGCCTAATGTCAGAACAATCTAGGAAGTAATAAAATTGAATCAATTGACTGTTTGTACATGGGTCCGTTGTAAATAAATCACAAGGGCAACCTTTATAATTCTTTTTACTTTTGAATCACGTAAAGCGCTTTTTTTGATTTTTAAAATTTCTTATTTTCTAAAACTAAATATTTTGTTCATATTATTATTACAAGACACTAAAGTTATTTGCAATAAATTAATGACACTTTAAGTATTTAACTCAGTGACGGATCCAGGAATTTTTAAAAGAGGAGGGAAGGAATGTTGAAATATTTTTGTATTTTACATCACATTTGCGTCTTCTGTATCACATTTGCATCTCCAAATATAAGAGACCTCTTATATGTAGAGATTTTATTACCTGTAATAAATTTGAAATAATATTTTTATTAATAAAAAGTCTCTGAAATGCAATTTCTGAGATTAAATCAAATATTAGGTCTGAAATGCAATTTCTGAGATTAAATCAAATATTAGGTCTGAAATGCAATTTCTGAGATTAAATCAAATATTAGGTCTGAAATGCAATTTCTGAGATTAAACCAAATATTAGGTCTGAAATGCAATTTCTGAGATTAAATCAAATATTAGGTCTGAAATGCAATTTCTGAGATTAAATCAAATATTAGGTCTGAAATGCAATTTCTGAGATTAAATCAAATATTAGGTCTGAAAGTAGCAGTTTTTAGAATTTTGCAGATTACAATGATTTTTTTCAATTATAAAAAGCAATTTTTTTTCTGAACAGTTTTACAGCTGTAAAAGATAATGGTAATGATCATGGTTAAAAATAATCGTAGCACATGAATAAAAAAATAAATAAATAATGAAGAAAACTTAATAAGAAAAATTTAGAAAAATAAAGAATATAAAACTATTGGGAAACTGATCAAGGAAAAAAACTATGAAAAAAACTGATTAAGTTAGTGCAATGGAAGTATGAATCTAATGTAGAAAAATAAACAATATAAAAGTTTTAGTAAGATTATTGAATGGTCTGAAAAATGATGATGAGAAACTAAGGAGAAACACAAATAACACAAAACTAAGGAGAAACACAAATAACACAAAACTAAGCAGAAGCACAAATAATACAAAACTAAGGATAAAACACAAAGTAAAAATTGATACAAAAAACAAATCAAGGAGCAAAATTCAATGATAAAAATTTTTCAAAGCTTTTCACGAAAGATTTAAATAGTTTAGTCAAACACAGTTAAGTTCTAAATTTTGCATGCAATCTTGTTATAAAAATAAGTTCTAAATGTTGCATGCAATCTTGTTATAAAAATAAGTTTTATATGTTGCATGCAATCTTGTTATAAAAATAAGTTCTAAATGTTGCATGCAATCTTGTTATAAAAATGCTGTAGTGTTTTTTTATCAACCTGTAATGTATGCTGTACCACGTTGATTAGAACTAATAATTAAATAATAATTTTGCAATAAAGTAGCCATAATTATTTCAATTGGTTATAATTATTTCAATTGATTATAATTATGTCATTTGGTTATTAAAATCAGTTTAAAATTATGTTGTTAAATTATTTTATTATTTAATTATTTAAAAGTAATTTTTATTACTTTATTTAGAACTTCCACCGACTCCGAATGATAAGATGCGGGCTCAAGGTATTTAAATAATTTGTTTTAAAGTGTATCCATTTGAATTACAAATAGTCCTGTTTCATTTTTTATGAACTTTTTATATTTAAAACTATATAAAAATTTAGTCAGTTGTAACTTAGCAATGTTTAGCTATACCAGCCGTTTGTCCTGCTTTTAAATTTTCAGTCTATATAACAATACTCAAACGTTTTTTCCAAATTGGAACCACTCTATTTGATAAGAAATAAACAATATTTGTCTTTTAACAAAAATCTTTTTGTAGCAACCGCACATATTATTTTTAATAACGTTTTTGAATAACGTTTGAATAACATAACATTGGCAATTTATTAAAATTTGATAATAAAGTTTTTAACACACTTCATTAAACAATAAGAAATGCAAAATGCTTAAAACTATCGTTTTTGTAAGTAATAACTAAAACATAAAGTCCAAAACAAACCTCATTTAATGAATAAAAATAATATTTTTTCTTTAAAATACTTTGGTAGTTAACTAAATACTTAACACTTCTACAAGTTAAATGTGGTAGTGGTGCAGTGGTAAAACACTCGCTTCATAAGCAAGAGGTTCCGAGTTCGATCCCCACCACGTCCACAGTAGTACTGCGCTCTACTTGTTTTTCCGCGCAGCGGCCTAGTTCGTCAAGGTTCGTGTTTCGGAGTTATAAAGTTGAGAGAGGGTTATAACCACTATTAAGTAGCCTACTCGTCTGTAGTAGCCTTCTCGGCCTTGAGGAGGTGAATAAAAAAATAAAATTAAAAAAAAGTTAATTTTAAGGTGTTAACGCTGTTTTATTTTATAACTAAATTTAAATATTTTTTTTATGAAGGATTATCTAAGATTTTTTAACTTTATGATATTTTTTTTATAATTACACAATTATAGCTCTTATTTTAATTTATGTAGAGAATTAATTAAACCTTCATAACAAACCAATTCTATGAGTCTAGAATAGAAATTTATGTACTAAACAAGATAAATCAAAAAGCATATTCCAAAGCTGCTACCAGTGGCTTTCACTATGCAATAGTGTTCCACTATCGCATAATGGAAGAGTTGAACCATGACTAAATTTAAATTAAACATTAAACAAACAAGTCTATTGAGCCATATAAACTAAATATAAAATGAAAAACCCCATCATACTGCCTTTATTTTTTCTCTGCCTGCGAACTCTAATAATCACAAAACATGTATAATTGTGTCATGATTTTGCCTGGCTTCTACAACATAAATAAATAATAAACATAAAACAATAACAAAACAAGTAAAAAAAAAATTATAAATATATATATATATATATATATATATATATATATATATATATATATATATATATATATATATATATATATATATATATATATATATATATATATATATATATATATATATTATATATATATATATATATATATATATATATATATATATATATATATATATATATATATATATATATATATATATATATATATATATATATATATATATATATATATTTGTATAATTTTTTACTATATCAACATATTTTTTGTGATTTAGTAAAAAATTATACAAATATTTCATTTTCTGATTGTAGTTGGAAAAATATTTATATATTTAAAAAAACAACAACAAAAAAAGGCTATCTAAAAAGATATTGCAATGACGTCATATCCCAAAACTGTTATGAATTAACATCCATGGAATAAATTATCAAGTCTGCAGATTGCGGCTAACATTATACAGACCCTGAGAACCAAAAAAAATGCATTCATTATTTAGTTTCAATCAAAAAAATTTAGCCCAATTATTTTTCAAAACCTTTTATTTAATATGATTATAACTTGTCTCGGCAGTTGGGGATCCCTTTAAAGACTATCTTCACAAAGTCAATAGTCTTGCTTAAATCTCAAAATACCATCTTTTATTTTTTATTACTATCTTTTACAAAAGTACAATATTTTATCTTAAAATACGTATACTCACCAACTTAACTAATAAAGAAGTAATATGATGTAACTAAATGCAGTTTAAAAAAAATAAAAAATTACATTTAAGTAAAAATAAAATAACTACAAAGAAATATTAAAAGTAAAGTATTCAATGAAATATTAAATTTTTGAATAAGTCTAACAAATGAAATATATTGGAAGATTTACAAACCAAACTTTGTAGTAACATTTTTCTTCAAAGCATTTGCAATAGCGTCATAGTATTCTATTATAGCGTTATAGTATTCTATTAACACAATCAGTTAAACAGGATTTGTTAGAAATAAAAAAATTTTCATTACATTCAAATGTTTTGCATGTTTCCAGTTGTTAATGATACTATATTGTAAGTATACAATTTACTTGTCTATACTATAAAGTAGGTTTCTGTGTCAAGTTTCCTAATAAATTTGTGTCTAAGACTTGTTGATTATTTATTGATGGACATTTCCAGTCTTCCTATACTTAATAATTCAAATTAATAAAAAATTAATAAATGTTAGATCTTAATTGGTATTTGTTACTTTTGCATCCAAAAAGGTCTTTGTTTCTTTTTATTCTATTATATATTCTAAATTGGAATAAATTGCAAGATTAGTTTCATATTTACAAAAATAGCATTTCCATACAAATTTTAGCTAGCTCATATCTTCTGTATATCTATACTGTAACAAAATAATCTTTTTACTTTTTAGTATTATTTATGAATTTAACTAACTCAATTGAGCTTTTATTTATTTAGTTAGTGTGTTGTTAATTGTCCATATATTTTTAATTTGAAACTTCTCATTGATTTAAAATTCACATTCAAATTAAGCACAAGAATTGTTGACTTCTTTTATTATTTAGGCATTGATTTAAAACTTCCATACTCAAAAAGTTTTTTTTAATTTCTAAATCTGAGTTTATAATAAACTTTACAGCTTTCAGTGTTTTCAATTTAATCTGTTTATTCCAAGATGCTTATATAACATCTGTTTTTTTTATCAAGCTAAGTGTAAGCTTGCGAAATTCGTTTCACTTAAAAAAGGTTGAGTTTGCGTAAATTTGCGTTATTGATATTTACTTTAAATTCTTTCTCAAACATAAAAAGCTATATATTATTTACACAGTAACTTATGGTAAGATTTAAAACCTAGGCTTGTAAGGTGACTTGTGAGCTAACACATGTGAGAAGTAACACTTTTGATAAATGGGTGAAACTTTCAACCACCAGTATTTTTTATGTTAACAAAATTGATACACAACATTTTTTTGGTTTCTATTAACAAATTGAAAAGGTTTTTTATAGCATGGTCAATCATAACTTTTACTTTAATTACAAATACAAATACAAAACATTTGATTAAATAGTTTTTTCTAAATTTAATTGTTTTATTCAAAGGAAATCCTTTTAGGATTAGTTATATGTAATAATAATATTTTTTCTAGCAAGAATCATCAAATCACTAACTTATGTAGTTGGTGGAAAAATGGTGGCAAACATTAAAAAACTAGATAAAGAGTTCCGTGTTTTTTTAAAACTTCATCCAAACAATTATTCTAAAAAGTTGCACAATGCCATTTATTTAGTTGTTGGTTCTAATAAAAAAAGTCGTGGCAGAGAGGTTTTAGGAGTATGGTTTTCAGATGCTGGTGATGGCAGAATGAATATTACTGTGCCAACAACAACAAAGTATTTTATTAGTGATCCTCAACCAACAAGTGCATATTGTACAATAGATATTCTTCAACAAAATGAAAAAAATAAATACATTTATACTATTAAAATCAATGCAGAAACTGTTTACTCTAAACAGAATCTAAAGCCTGAAAGCTTTGACAATGTTCAGGTATATGCTTCAAACCCTTGGGACTTGGTACAAGACACATACATAGAGGGCATGTTTATAATCAATGGAAAGAAAGGTTCTCATTTTTTAACATAATTTATAAAACAATATATTTTTTTCATGTTAATATATATCATATTTATGTGGTAAAAAATAAAAGATTTATTTTTATGTTTATATTTATTTTTTTTAAGATTTATTTTTATGATTTTTTTTATGATTTTTATGATTTTTTTTAAGATTTATTTTTATGTTATATTTTTAAAAAAACAAAGTTTGAATGCTGAACTAATGTTTAATAAATGGTTTATTCTAATCATTTAAGAAGTTTAATAAATATTTCTTATGTATATAAGATTTTGTAACATTTGTGTGAATATTTTTAATACAAGTTAATAAGGTGAATGCTTTAGATACCTGCTGAAATTATTAAATGAATGGTGATCCAAAACCTTTGTCTTTTTTTATTTCAGATCAACCAAGCATGATTGATCTAGTCATTAATCCAACAGGTATGAAGATAACTACATATATAATTTTACCTGAGTTATAACATTAATATGAACAAAAAATAATTCCAATATTACAGTTAATAAATTTATATTGAAACAATAATTGTTAACAAATATTTGTTATAGATAGTGTTGCTCAACTTTCAGTGAAAGAACTCTGTGAAAATGAGGTGATTGCAACAATGAGCGTTTTAAAAAAAGAATACTCTGTATCTTTTAAACTGAAATCTTATTCTTATTCTAAAGGATGGGAAAATGTTCTTCATATAACCAAGGGTCAGAATTATGGTGAATGTGGTGACAGAAATCCAGCAGTGTTTTTTCATAAAGATGGTTCTGGGCGACTTGTATTTTTCTCGGCTATAAATGGCAATATTAACTCAGAGTTTGAAACAAAAAATCCACTTCCACTTAATGTATGGTCAAATATTAAAATAGAGCAAACTTTGAAAAATAGTGCTTATGTTTATGCTATTTATATCAATGGTTCCATTCAATATGAAATTGAAAATAAAGATCCGAGGCAATTTAAAGATGTGAAAGTATATATTTCAGATCCGTGGTATACTGCACATGATGGTGATATTAAAGAGCTATTTGTTGTGAATGGAGGTTTAGTATAATTATTTTGAATGTTTATGAATATTATAATTATTTTTAATGTTAATGAATAGTATAATTATTTTCAATGATTTAAATAATCATTGTGAATTTAGATATAGAATACACTGGGATATTATGGTTTACTTAATATGGGGTATTATTGGATACTTAAAAATAAAACCCTAACAAAGTAACAAAAACAATTAAAAACGAATTTTTGTGGAAACAATAGAATACAACATAAAAGTAAAAAGGATGTAAACTAATTAGTTTATTAAAAAAATTTTACAATAATATATTCCCCTATTTTAACCATAACTTGGGGCAAACTAGGATAATGGCCGGGGAAAAATGGGGTCAGGCAGACAGAAAAAAATATTTCTTACTGCTAATATGTAGATTAAACTAAAAGTTTTTTTTTGTTTCCTTCCTCAACGCCAGCACAAGAATAATAGGCGTATACATCAGTGTATTTAATACCCAACTCTCTTTTTTACTAGTGTTTAGCTCCTAACAATAGAGGCTTCATTTGTGCCCAATGCATTTTAATTTTATTGTTTTGTTTTTCTAATTTTTTAGCTTCCTATATAGAACTTTTAAATTATGAGGAACTTAAAATAGCAGTTTTTTCTCTATACTTAGATATACTTTTTTTTTAAGCCTGTTTTGAAAAAAGGAAATAAATGACATAACTAAACTAAAATAATTCAAATGGTCAATATGCTAAACAAAGTTTCAATTGTGATAGGTGCAGTAGAACTGAAAGGAGCTGAAAATCTGGACATAAAGCTGTTGACAGTGCTGTTAGTAGCAATGCTCATATCAGTACCTTCAGCTGCCATAAAATCAGCTAAAGTCATTTATCTTCTGGCTAAATACCTACTTTTATATAAACCCCTTTTATAAAATTATTATTTTATAGCAGCATCTAGATATGATGCACGAAGCAGAAATGCAATATGAAATTGTGTTACAACAAACCCAGTGTTAATTGTCAACCATTTCCATAAATTATGTTCATAAAATGTACTAAGTGGTTTAAAAAATAAAGTATTAAGAGCTATTATTTTATGAATACTGTAGGAAGGCAAACCAAGTTAAATGACACCATTATTTTACCAATGTCAATAAGTTTTTTTAATATTTGTCTAATATATGAAGATCTGGCCTTTGTATAATGTATTACCTGGTGTGTTGCATGATTTTGTGTTATGCATTACTTAGTGTTTTGCACATTCATTTAATCTATGAAGAACTGGTGGGTCTTGTGTATGATACAAATTTTTGTAACTAATTTTTTCTGATATAAAAAATTCTGTCTAGATCCAACAGTTTGTAGGGCGCCCTGCCTGCGCATCAGGGGGTACCCCTTTCATTAACTTATCTTTCATGCACTGACATTGAAAGAATAATATTGTTAGTATTTATTTTGCAGAAAAGTAAATTACAGCTGATAATAAAGTTATCACAACATTTAGTGTTATTATACCAAATATTTTTTTAATGTTTATTTTTTTTTATCTTAGATACAAACAATACCTCTGATGTAACTCAACCTCAAGGTAATTTTTTAACGATGTGTTTTTGGAGCATTTTTTTCTTAATGTTTACATAGATTAAGCAAATAAATATACAATTAGATAAGCAAGGAAACATGGATAGGAGTAAGCCACAGGTAGGGGTGAATCTTTGATCCCATAGCTAGAATGCACTAAAAAAAGGCCCCAAACTTTCACTAAGTAATTAGAAGCAAAATTTAGTTAAGTTAATTAAGAATTTTTTAAAGATTCTTGACGCGTTATATTAAAGTTCTTTAAAGAACATGCTGACTTTTTTGAGATATTGGTTGAAAAGTATCTAATAAACAAAAATCTTCCTTGTGAACAAAAATGTTTTTTTTTTTTTTTTTTTTTGATAAACCTCATACTTAATTTCCATTGAATATTTTAATCCAGTTGCTCGACTTCTTTTAATAATCACTTCACAATAACTTCATTGATTTATCTATCTAGATAAATTTTAAAATTTTCTATAAGTTCATTACTTATTTGGTTGTTCAAATCAAAAAGTTTATTGAACATGAACTATAATATTTTTTAGCACTCGGTTGCTTCTTTGCAACTTAAACTATCTGATTTAACAGGTTTCGTGGCCTTCAGAAGAACTCTCAGAGCAGTTTATTAAGTTAAATGTTTTAAATTCAGTTGAAGTTTATCAACATTTTCATTCTCATTGGAATAAAATTTCAATAAGTTTTTAGATCAAAAAGAAGTTCTATCTTGTGGATAAATTTGTGCTTTACCTTGCGTAGAAAAACGCTGTTGCGAATCATGGATTTTTTATGAGAAGCTTCATTAGTTTTTTCATTTTCTCTAGCAGATCATGATAATCCATGTCTTCTTGTTTGATTTTAAAATTGTTTATGATTTCCATATCCTGTTCATCATCAAAATTCAGTTTTGTTAAACTCACAGCTACCCAAGTAATGCTCAAAATTAACCATCTTGCGTCAATCCAACAATATATTTGGTCATATAAATGCCTAAACCAACTATTATATATATATATATAGCAACCAAATGTTGTTCCATTGCCTCAACAATATTGAGAGCCAAGTTAACGTACAAAACTAGTTTTCAATGTTATTTTCTCATCTACCATATTGAGAGCAAAATAGTCCTGAATACACACAAGACCAGTTTTTAATGTTGTTTTCTCATTAATACTATGAAGATTCACACAGTAAAAAATTGTTGTTGTTTTTTTACGTGATATATTGATCATGCTGTATTTTACTTCATTTTTAAGTGGTGAGTGATTGCTAAATGAATGATATATAAACCAACCAAATACTGATCCAATGCCTTAACAATATTGAGAGCCAAGTAAACGAGAGCAATGTTGTTTTAACTACTATAAAGATCACAAACAGTTTACTCACCTGTACATTTCTTTAAAAAATTTGTATCGTAGCTATGCCCAGCTGCTTTGTGCGGTCAATCGAGAGGTTTTTTGGTAATATTTTATTACTGTTAGAAACCCAATACATCAATTTTTCTCAGGTCTTTTTTCGTACATTTTTTTACATTTAGTTACCTTGATATCATCATTTTTTAAAATAGTAGTTTACTCCTACCCATTCTCCCCTATATATCTTGTTAAAAATAAATTCAAAAATTTTGATGTAGATTAAACATTCAAATAAATTGATGTTGTGTTGAGCATTTTTGCGGGGCAGGGGGATATAGCAGGGGAGTTGGTCTACAATTGATTTTACTTTTTGTTCTTACTAATGTTATCATGTAGACAAATTTGAAGATGCCAGTGAACAAAAATTGCAAGAAAATAATTTGGTTGCAACAATGAACTTCTTGAGTACATTCACCGTTTCATTTCAGATAAATCCAACTTCTTATTCGATAGGAAAGCATAGTGTTTTCCATTTTATGCAAGATAAATTTTCAACTCAATTGGCTAATAAAAATATTGCAGCTTGGTTTCATGAGGATGGATCTGGAAGACTAGTTATTGTAGCAGGCTTTTCTAATAACGAAAAAAAACTAACTGAGTTCATAACCAAAGATTCTCTCCCTTTAAACAATTGGTCGTCTATTAAATTAACTCGAACAAAAGCTTCATCTAAGAATAAAACTAATTTTAACATCTATCTCAATGAAAAACGTGTTTCCAATGTTGAAAAAGAAGCAGAAACTTTTGAATTTGTTAGAGTTTATTTTGGTGATCCATGGAACAGTGTTCAAAACGGCTACATTAAAGATTTGAAAATATATAATAGTGAGTTTCATTAAATCGTGTAGTTATTTAATATATTTAAGTTTTCAAAATATCGTATATTTTTTTGATTTGACAATAATTACTGTCATGATTTTTTATTTAGACTAATATCTTTTCAAAAATTTTCAAAGTTTCTCAACATTGTTGAAGCTAATGAAACATCAACTTTGCTGTTGTCACTCACAAAACAATTTTCTAATAAATTGTGTAAACTATACTAGTAAAACACGTTATCATCTGTTAATGTAATTTTTCATATTCTTTTGTATATAAATTACATTATATAAATAAATATATTATATATAAAAATTCAATATTCAAATAATAAATAATATCAAAACTTGATGGAGTTTTTTTTTTTTTTTTTTTTTTTGTATTTGTTGCTGCTTGGTTATGACTACTAAGTGATATTGTTTTTAAAAAAATTTGGTATTCTGAGCGAGCAAAAAAGTAAAATATTAAGAAGAAAATTTACAAATCTATAAAATCAATAAGCCTATTGACACAGAAAAATAATAACAACCTTGACTAATAATTTTAATCAACAGTTTGAGATAAGTTACTATAAAAATTCTAACAATAGAGTTAACTTTTTAATTTTAATTGTAAAGTTAAGGTTCTGATCTATTATACAGTGTTTTCATAAAAAATAGGCTCAGTAAAATTTTGTTTCTAGAAGCATACTTAAACTACACAGTAATTAAAAAACCCGTTATATTTTTAAAAAACAGAACAGGAATTTTCCTCTCACATAACGGTTAACTGCCCTTATGTTTAATACTTAACATCTATGAAAATAACATGTTTTAACAAATAACGGTTTTAGCGTTATGTTTTATCATAGCAAAACTGCCTTGAACTTAACAGTTACATAACGCCAATTTATGTGCGAGGAAAACTCCAGTTATATAACGTTATATAACGTTTCATTTCTTAACATATTGATATTATATTATTTTTCATATTCGTGAAAATTTTTTACAAAATAATTAAAAAATTTAAATTATTCGCATTTATAAATTCTAAAGTACTTTGTATTGCTCTGAAAAAAATGAAGAAGAAAAATCCAACAAAGCCACTTGCCCGAAGCTTCAAATACCTGATCATATGTACTGATCAAGGGCTATCATAAAATTTGATCATATGAACTCATCAATGCATCCTAACACCTCTTCGACTCTATAATCTTAGCTCTTTTAAGTATTCATGTAGTCACACTAAAATATTATAAATGCAAAATAAGTATTAAAACCATAAAAGAAAAAATTATTACTTTAATATATTAAATGGGTTAAAAATTTATGCTAATTTATGCTAAGTAATATTTTATAGAACTTTCTTAATACCTAATAGAAAAACTAATAATATTTACATCAACTTTCATAAACAATTTATCAGAACCGGTAAATTGTTTATGAATGTAAATAATTCATTATTTTGCAACTTCCAACTAAACCTATATTGTAGCAAAACTCTAATTATACACACAAGAAAAAGGTTTGATAAATGTTAAGGGATATTGCATATCCGACCTTTAAGGATATATATCGTATCCTACCCCTGAAGATAAAAAATTATAAACCTTAAGGTACAACATTATATCTTTTAGGTATCAAATTATACTACATATGCAGCGTGAGCTCAGTAATTAACTACTTACTCCAACTACAAAACCTACAGTCACCTTAGACTCCTGTATTTTGTTAGATGCAGTGTTTTTCCTAATGCACTTCCAAAATGTCATGCCTGGTTTTCTCAAAGTACTTTTGCGGGAAGTAACTCCTTTTAACTACTCCAGGTCAGGTCAGGATAATCGAGATCAATCTTGCTACTGGTATCACGTAACCCAGTATCACCTGCCATAAGCCCTGCTGCCTTGCAGAGTGTGCTCTTCTTTTGCAAAAGCTAGGAGAAATAAACTCCGACTAAAAATTCCCCTGCCTTGAGGCTCTTGGTTGAGTAAAGGCTAGAGATGGTGTCTCGACAAAAATACTCATCTTGAGCAGATGTTAACTGCATCCAGCTACTGTCTTGTAGAAGGCCTCCTAGGCAAAGACTTTAGGGGTAAGCAGAAAATTCTGCTAACCAGACTCGAACCCCTTCTTCATCTATTAGGCTGGCGTACATGTAACCTGTGTTACATTGTTTCCTGCCTAGGATGATGAATGCTGGATCTCCTTGACTCTACTCATAGAATTTTGCTTATGCCTCCTTGATATTGGCTATGCAACTCTTCCTGTTATCTCCATATGAGGGTACAGCTCTAAAACTCAGTTTAATGGTTCTGAGGCCGGCTGGTAGTAAGGTTTCCCAAACTCTGTGGTAGCTCTCAGAGAGGCTGATTCCATCAACAGCTGCAAAATATCAGAGTATTAACAGTGCCTTGTTGCGCATGGATGGTGTCCCTGTTAATGCTTTTGGTGTGCATTGTTAAGGCCACATAAGGAGCCCTATGTCACGGCTTAGGGTTAATTAACAGGACTGAGACAACTGTGTAGCTCATTGATTAGGAGGCTGTGCTCTATCTATGAATGAGTCAAGTTCTCATTAAACCCAAATCATGACCAAAGTAACCAAAAATTAAAAACCTAAAAAAACCTAAAAAACCATCTCCACCACCTAAATATTTTAATATATCTTTTACAAAAATTCGCGGTCTACGAGGCATTTTTCCATCAGTTGAGTCTTACCTCCTGCAAAATTCACCAGACTTGCTTGCACTCAGTGAAACAAATTTAAATTCTGCAATTCCTTCTTAAGATGTCAGTGTTGATGGGTACTATCCTTTGATTCGTAAAGTCTCAAATAGTCACATGCTAGGTTTAGGGGTATACATACGCATTAATTCCCCTATTTGTCGAGAAATTAGGTTCGAATCCTTTGACCATTCTTTTATGTGCTTTCGCCTAGCACCTCTTCACTCTATCACCTTTCTCTTTGTTCTTTATCGTTCTCCTTCTTTCCATGATTGCACTCTCTTAGATGTTATCTCTGATCAAATTGACCATGCCCTCTGTCCTTACCCCTCTGACAATATTGTTGTTGTTGGTGATTTTAATGCCCATCACACTGAATGGCTCTAACACCACTGATCCTGGTGGCACTAAGGCCTTTAACTGCTGCGTTTTTCAATCTCTTACTCAGATAGTTAACTTTGTGACTCGTTTTCCTGACAACCCTAATCATTTACCTTCACTCCTTGACTTATGTCTTGTCTCTGACCCTAGCTTATGTTCAGTTTCTCCCTTTTCTCCCTTAGGTGGTTCTGACCATGCAATGATCTCTATAAATCTTTGTTCTTGTACTTCTTTTTTGGGCTCACCTTATCATCGCACCACCTACTACTACCCTAAAGCTGACTGGGATTCCTTTCGTGATTTTCTTCGTGATGGTCCTTGGCTGATGTTTTTTCTCTGTCAGCTGATAAATGCGCCTCCTACGTAACCTCCTGGATTCAGGTTGGAATGGAAGCTTTTAATCCTTCGCATCGGTTTCAAGTCAAGCCTCATTCTACTCTATGGTTTTCTCCTTCTTGTGCGGCTGCTTTATCCAATAGTAATCATTTTTTTCATCTTTTTCAAAAGAACAACTCTCTTGCGAACAAACGGCTAGTTATTATTGCAAGAAATCGATGTAAAAAGGTGCTTTCTGATGCTAAACTCTATTATTCCCAGTTCACTAAATCTCGCATCTTATCGCAGAAGTTAGGCTCTAAAGATTTTTGGAAAATCTTCAACAGCATTAATAACAAGGGTAGATCTAACATTCCATCTCTCATTCATGGGATTGACCTTATTACCTCTCCTAAGGATAAGGCAGAACTGTTTGCAAAGAACTTTTCTTCTAATTCCACTCTTGAATCTTATGGACATTCTCTTCCTTCCATTCCAGTCAAACAGGTTGACCCATTGTTAGACTTTCAAATCACTCCGGCTTCTGTTGCTAAAGTCATATCTCAATTAAACTCGTCTACAGCTTGTGGTCCAGACAACATTCCTGTCACAGTCTTGCAGAATTGTTCTCCAGAACTTTCTTCAATTCTCCCTAAACTATTTAACAAGTTTTTGAATGAGTCTTGTTTTCCTGCTTGTTGAAAAATGGCATCTGTGGTTCCAATATTCAAAAACTCTAGAGAAAATTCTGACCCCTCTAATTATCGCCCGATCAGTCTTCTTTCTGTTATTAGCAAGGTCTTTGAGTCTTTGATCAACAAATTCCTAACATCTCATCTTGAGTCAAATAAACTACTGTCAGACAATCAATACGGTTTTCGATCCTCTCGCTTTACGGCCGACATGCTAACTGCTGTAACTGAAAGATTTTATCGTGCATTAGATGGAGGCGGTGAGGCTAGGGCTATTGCTCTCAACATATCTAAAGCTTTCGACAAAGTTTGGCATGCTGGTCTTCTCCATAAGCTTGCTTCATAAGGTGTTTCTGGGAAAGTTTTTGAGTTTATCAGATCATTTTTTTCTAACCGGTTTATTAAAGTCATCCTTGAAGGCCAACATTCTTCTTTATTTCCAGTAACTTCTGGGGTTCCCCAAGGTTCCATCCTGGGCCCTGTTTTGTTTCTTATCTACATAAACGATCTTCCTGACAACCTTTCATCTAAAGTAGCTCATTTTGCTGATGACTCAACTTTATACTCCTGTCTTGACAAAAAGTCTTCTCTTTTCGATCGCCTAGAACAAGCAGCTGATCTTGAATCCGATCTCACTTCAGTAATAGATTGGGGTTCACAGTGGCTTGTGAATTTTAACTCTAAAAAAACCCAGTTGCTTACTGCAAACAACTACCGTAATATGGTCAACATTCCTATATTAATGAATGGCAATCCTCTTACTGAGTCCTCCTCTTTACGTCTTCATGGATTATCGCTTACTACTGACCTTTCATGGAAACCATATATACAATCGATTGCTAAATTAGCATCTGCTACGGTTGCTTCTCTTTCTCGTGCTCGCTATTTCCTTACTTCTGATTCCATTCTCTACCTCTACAAATCTCTTATTCGTCCCTGTATGGAATATTGTTGTCATATTTGGGCTGGTTCTTCTAACGATTCACTTTCTCTTCTTGACAAGGTCCAAAAACGCATTGTAAATGTTGTTGGACCTGGACTATCTGCTAAGCTTGAACCTCTTTCCCATCGTCGTAAAGTTGCATCTCTTTCTCTTTTCTACAAATACTATTATGATCACTGCTGAAAGGAGTTATCATCTCTAGTTCCATTAACTAAAATTCATTCTCGTTTTACTCGTCATTCAGCTAAGTCTCATTCGTTTACTGTATCTGTCCCTGCATTCTCTAAAAACTTTTATTCATCTAGTTTTTTCCCCCGCACTTCAATCCTTTAGAACTCTCTCCCATCTTCGTGTTTTCCTGACTCATACAACCTTCAACTTTTCTGTCAACCTGTCTTCTGTCAACCGTTTCCTTGCTCTATAACTCTGTTCTTTTTTTTCCTAGTAACTCCCAACTTAAAAGTGGTTGCTTGCAGCCTTGTTGGGAGTGAATGATTTTACTTTTAGCATTCTAACTAAAACAGCTCAACACCTTAATACTCTATCCGCCATGTTTTACAGTCAAAAGTACACTCTACTTTGTCAACAAGTTAACGATATTATTTTCTAGTTTAACAATTTAAAAAAAAACATCTTAAATTAAAGATTTAAAATTTCGATACATTGATCCGTGTTTACAGTCGTTCATGGTTCATTTTTTATGTAATTTTGCCCACTTTAGCATTTTTGTTATCCTTTTAATATTTATGAAAGCATTTTAACCAAAATACTTATAATTTATGTAATAGTACAAAAATAAACATAAAAAATAAGTTATATGAAAAATAGCATTGTAAAAAAAACTTAATGCCGTATATATATATATATATATATATATATATATATATATATATATATATATATATATATATATATATATATATATATATATATATATATATATACGGCATTAAGTTTTTTTTACAATTCTATTTTTCATATAACTTATTTTTATGTTTATTTTTGTATGCCGTATATATATATATATATATATATATATATATATATATATATATATATATATATATATATATATATATATATATATACGGCATTAAGTTTTATATATAATATATATATATATATATATATATATATATATATATATATATATATATATATATATATATATATATATATATATATATATATATATATATATATATATATATATATATATATATATATATGTATATATATATATATATATATATTATATATATATATATATAATATATACATATAAATATATTTATATAAATATATATATATATATATATATATATATATATATATATATATATATATATATATATATATATATATATATATATATATATATATATATATATATATATATATATATATATATATATATATATATATATATATATAGATATATATATATATACATATATATATATATATATATATATATATATATATATATATATATATATATATATTTATACATATATATATATATACATATATATATATATATACATATATATATATATACATATATATATATATATAATATATATATATATATATATATATATATATATATATATATATATATATATATATATATATATATATATATATATATATATGTATATATATATATATATATATATATATATATATATATATATATATATATATATATATGTTTATATATATATATATATATATATATATATGTTTATATATATATATATATATATATATATATATATATATATATATATATATATATATATATATATATATATATATATATATTAGGGTGGTGCTTAAAACAACTTTTTTGAGAAAAACCTGCTGGTACCCCCTAAATGTGTTTTATCTAATACATAAACACTAGGTTTAAAATTTTTTTCGAACAAAAAATATTTTTAGGGGTAGCTCAAGGCCCTCAAAAATTTGACGGGTCCCTAATATTTTGAAAAAAAAACTTTTTCTAAAGTATGTCAACCTGGTACTCAAAATAAGCAAAATTATATAAAAAATTTAAAAATGAAAATAAATTTTTATAAAAATAATTTTTTCAGGTATAAATGCATAAAAACTATTGTTTTTAAGCTAAAAATAAAAAAAGTCAATATTTTTAGGTTTTTTAAGAATAATTTTTTTAAGCATGTTTTTTATGTAAAATGATTATTATTTTTGAAGTTTTTATATAATATCGCTTCTTTTGAGTACCAGGTTGACATACTTTTGAAAAAGTTTTTTTTTCAAAATATTAGAGACCCGTCAAATTTTTGAGGGCCTTGAGCTACCCCTAAAAAAAATTTTAAACCTAGTGTTTTTGTATTAGATAAAACACATTTAGGGGGTACCAGCAGGTTTTTCTCAAAAAAGTTGTTTTAAGCACCACCCTAATATATATACTCTTGCATGGTAGTCAAAAAGAGTTTCCCATAAACTGTAGTTTTAAAGAGCGCGTTAATAAACCAGACCAGAAAACGTTTAAAAAATTAAATTTTTTTTTTTAATTGATAGACTGCCTGCCAAAACCAAAACCTCAGTCGATGCAGCAGCACTCCCTTACGAGTCAGGCTATTTTTCAGTCGTTGTAGCAGCACTCCCTTGCGAGTCAGGCTATTTGTCAGTCGATGTAGCAGCATTCCCTTGCGAGTCAGGCTATTTGTAAGTCGATGTAGCAGCACTCCGTTGCGAGTCAGGCTACAAGATAGTCGATGTAGCAACATTAACGCATGTTTTAAAAATGTTTTTTAATAAAACAAAGACAAAAACACCACTAATTAAAAAAAACTTTCTTGTCGTTATAATTGCGGTTTTTAAAATTTTTTATATATTTTTTTATATTTTTTATAATTGCAGTTTTTTAAAATTGTAGTCGAAAGAGACTTTTTTTACATTAAAAGACTCTTTCGACTACACTATAAGGATATATATATTATAAATTGACTGATGTTAGTGAAATCGAATGATATACTGATGAATAAAATGGAATGATTAAAATAACACTGAATGCAATATCGAATACAAAAAATAATTCTACAAGAACGATTTTTCTATATATCAAAGAGTGCAGCTTCAACGGGATCATTTCAATGGTAAAACTAAAAGAAAAAAAAATTCAATTAAAAAAATTTCAATTAGCTCTAAATTTCATACGCGCTAAAGAACAAATTGGATTGAGAAGTATTGCTTCATAAATTTTCCTGTTTTATTTCATAGAATTCTGGTTCAGACAGTATTGATTTGAAAATCAGAACCATCATTTAGTAGTCTGCCTAGACTAAAACTTTTCTTCAACCGACCATGAGCCAGGAAAATCTAAACGCTGTTTTTTTTATGAATGCCCATAAAAAAATTACCCGAAGACTTAAAATGGATTTTTTGTTAGACATATTTATAGATAAAAACAAACCTTTTTTGTTTTATTCAGAAACCAAGTAAAGTTCCATCTCTACCTGTTTCACTTTAATTTCTCGATACTAGTGAAGCAAAAGTAAAAGTCTTCTTTTTTTTTTTTTTATATCAAAAAAAATAAACACTGGACAGAAAAAATACACTGATCAAAAAATTGGAACATATAACAAAAATTTTATTTATAGAATTTTTTGTTTTTTTAAGTACCACATTTACTCAGGTAAAGAAACAAACTCACCTAAAGACTGTGTACATATAAAATAAAACAATGAGATAAGTAATAAAAAATTTTATAACACTTTGATGCCTCTATCAAAGAAACAAAAGTATTCTGAGCTAATAAGCAAACTATAAACAACTAATGCCATTATGTTTTTTTACTCACACACCTACACACTACTACAAAAATATTAACACATTTACTCATAGACATACGTACACAGTAAAATTTATTTTACTAAAAAGTTGTTATATCAAACAAAAAAAATTATATAAGTTGAGAATAACATGTCTTACGATAACTATAACAGATAAAATTAATTTACATTATCATAGAATTCTATTCTATAACAAAACCAACCAAAAAAAATAATGTCTAAAATAAAAATATGGTTTCGTTAAATCTGTTTGTAAATCTTATTGTGTGTAAAAAATTACAAAACTGTATAAAGCTGTATGTATTTACTGTCAAAAGTTTGACTTTGAAAAACATGATTTGCAATATCTTTAAACAGAACTAGACCTAGATATATATATATATATATATATATATGCAATATCTTTAAACAGATATATGCAATATCTTTAAACAGAACTAGAACCTACAACGTAAAAGTTTGTTTCATAGTACACTTTTTAGATAGATCTAATGCGCATTTATTAATTTATTGATACAATTTCAATTGTTTATGTGTTTGTGCTTCATTAAATAATAACACAGCTGAAACATTGATTATTTTTTATATCACTTGGGTCTTTTTTCAACTTTTCTGGAATGACTTTTTGAGGATTCAAAGTTTCGTTACTATTTTTTGTGAAAGGTTCTAAAACGTAGATACTTGCATTGTCTGAAGTACGGTTATATGTTATGTTATCAGTAGCTTTATTAATATAATGGTTTTTGATTTGATTTACATCACATTTTAACTCGCTTTCTGACTCAATTTGTTCTGGTTTTAATAATAAAATAAACATGTTGGGATTTAAAACTGATGTAAGGTAAGACAAATAATATTTATCATCTTTGAATAGTTGCATTAAATTTTGCTGTAAAGACATAGGTATGTATTCCGCAAAAATGTTATTCAAAGTTTTTATTTCAAACTTTTTAATTTTTGTTTCTGGTTGGTTAGGAATGTTTATACAAGATTTTATTGAGTTTATTCGAAAAATAAAACTCTTTACTGTTTTCCATGCTATAGTTGGTTGAATAACTTTAATGACGTCACAAAGTAGTTTAACTCCTTCGTTAACAAACGCATTTGTTTGACTAATATCAGCTTGGTCCGCTTTTGTGATAACCCAGAACAACGGTATATTGTTTTTAAAAACATATTTGTCGAACATGTACTTTATTAGGCTTGTATCTGCATTAGCCCCTGTTCCTACGCAAAAAAGACAAAAAGATAGCAAATCTGTTGTATACTGAAAACATTCTTTCCAAAAGTCATCTATGGAAATCTTGCTCCATTTGTTAAGTTCCTTTGGATCCCAAATAATAACATTATCATTAACAAATTTATAAGATGTACCAACGCGAGTGCTTATATATTGATTAGAGGAAGTATCCATAACTTGCCCAAATAATGACTTTATAAGAGTTGATTTCATTTCCCTTTGGACCACAAACAATTATTTCAACTTTTTTGTTTTCACATCCCTTTTCACTTTTTTTGTTGGTTGTTTCAATATCAAATTCTTCTCTAAGTTTGTCGAATATTTCTTTTGCATCTATTTTTTCGTTGAGTTTATTTTCGTTATAAATTGTAGATATATCGATGTTTTCAGTTGACATTTTTGTTCTTTAACTAGAGCAATAAAAAATTTAGCAAATAAGTCTTATTAATGTAAAACGAGACCTGTTTTAAATAAAGTTTTTTTTTTACAATTTATATTTTTTTCAATTAACATATTGTTTGCCTATAAAATAGAAACTATTCTGTTTTCTTTTTAAATAGTTACCTGTTCTTGCAAACACTATAAACGCAACAATTAATTTACAGCAGCGCCGTTCTTCATATTATTAAACTATAAGACAAATTATCATTGTTAAATATAATCAAGTTGAAAAAATTGTCATTATACTAAAAGCTGATTTCCGTGAAACAATAAATAAATTTTTCTTTAATCATTATAAGTATAAAAGACATTAAAATTTTTTTCTAAGTGGTATTACACACATATGTGGAATTTGTTAATACTTTTAAGAAAAACATGTTTTTAATTGTGTTCTGCTGATTTTTAGTTTATGAATAACATTTTAGTTTATGAATAACATAGTTTATGAATAATATTTTCCATAAAGTTTTTTTAGCTCAATGTAATACTTGTATTTTTATAAACTTTTTTTTAACTTTTTAGACAGGAAAATGTTTAAAACATCATATTTGTTATTTTTTAAATTTTTTTACTGCTTTCTCAAAGAAGTGTATGTACCAGAGTTAATTGCATACTTTTCTAATTGGTCAATCGATGAATAACACTCCTAGCCTGTTTACCTTTTTGTCTGTCGATGTATGTCAATAGTAAAAATATAAAATGAAGAGTACTTAGAATGTTATAATTATGTTATGAAAAATGAAAGTTTATCTTCTTTTTAAAGTATATTATAGTTATAAGGTTGATATAATAACAATGATTATAATACAAGTAGGAACAATAAAGTAATAGTAGTGATTATAATAATAATAATCATAATAACGAAAATAACAATAATATTAATAAAAACAATAATAACAATAATAATTATAATAATTGAAATATTGAAGGTAAGCAAGAGGAATGATTTATTGCGGCTAAGGAACAAGATCCAGATTTATAGAAACGAAATTCCGCATGCGAGGAACGAAAAATTAGTATTGAGGAAAGAAACTCCGTTCGAAAAAATACTAATTTCCGAAAGAAAATAGTATTGAGGAAAGAAATACCGTTCAGAAGAAAATTTTTTTTAGAAGATCCTTCAAAGAAATGAAATTCTTGAGGAACAAAGTTTTTTTAGGAACGAAGCTTTTGAATTCAATGAGATAAGACGGGGTAATGCGATGTTATTAATTTTATGTTTCAAGCTGTTTGAAAACTGATAAGATCTTTAATTTATTATTATATTAGTTCTATTTTTATATGTCTCATATTGTTTGTATCCATATGCCTTATGTTATGATAAAAGTACAAATATGAACTTTAAATTTAACTTAAATTGTAATACTGATAAAGATTTCATAATAAAATAAACAACGCGTTTCTAATAACCATGCTTTATAAATACTTTTCTTATAAATAGTGAAGCTTATGTTAAGATTTAAGAATTTTAATTCTTATTTATAACACCTTATAATCTTGTTTGAAGGGGTATATTTGATTTTATGATGTTTTATTATAAATTAGAAAACATTCTTTATAGCCTTTTCAGTGTGCTGTTTTATTACAAGTACCAATATTTTTCTTCAATTTTTAATTAAAAACTATTAGATATTTTTTGCTGCAATTAGTGACTAACAAAAAGCAACTTGAGTATAAGCAAGAAAACTTATTTTATTGTTAGTATTTTATTACTTTTATATTCAAAACTATCTATTTATATGCATTTTATCTATTGTTATTTTTTTTGACATTTTTGTGTCAAACAACTGTTTTGCATTATTATAAAAACAAATGCTATCGAAAAAATTATTCATTAGTTATTTTCTAAATTATATATTTTTAATTATAAGAGCGTCGTTGTCAAAAATCACCTGAAAAAAATATTTTTGAGAACTTAGAAAGTGAGCATCTCTATTTTTTAGAAAGTCTTTATGGATGATGTAATAGATTAGTTATTATATATTTTGGTGGCTTATAGTTCGAATAAAATTACTTCCACTTGTGTCTCAAAAGAATTATATACAGATTTTGTATTAAAAAAATCTTGAAAAAATGTCAACGGTAATATCATTGAAAAACAAAAGAAAATAAACTTTTGCTTATAATTTAGAAAGAAATTAATTTATTTCATCCAATAAACTAGAATTTTAAATTAAAATTAATATTGTTTTTGAAATCTTACATAATTTCGCTTGATATGAGATCATATTAATATTGTCTTTAAAAATTTAAATATTTTAAAGTATTTAATTGTAAAGCATTTACAGTGATTAGAGTAAAACAGCAATATTTGTATACACTAAACAAAAAAAATGTTTACTTCTTTTCATACCATTACCATTACGAAGTTACGGTTACGGTTACGAAGTGTTTGTAAAAAGAGATTTTTATCCCGGTGAATATAATAGTAACTTAATAACAAGACAATAAGCTGAAAAAGCTCATGAAGAGTATCAATATCAAAATGAGGGGTGCTTCATCTTTGATGTTGACTGGAAAAAATTTAAATGAGGTACTTTTTTTTATTCTAATAAAATGGTTTTATAATTTTTCCAAAAAAATGTTTTTTGGAACTGTTCTTTTTAAAAATGATTTTTTGAGTTTTCATGAATATTGCCCCTTCAAACAAGATTATAAGGTGTTATAAATAAGAATTAAAATTCTTAAATCTTAACATAAGCTTCACTATTTATAAGAAAAGTATTTATAAAGCATGGTTATTAGAAACGCGTTGTTTATTTTATTATGAAATCTTTATCAGTATTACAATTTAAGTTAAATTTAAAGTTCATATTTGTACTTTTATCATAACATAAGGCATATGGATACAAACAATATGAGACATATAAAAATAGAACTAATATAATAATAAATTAAAGATCTTATCAGTTTTCAAACAGCTTGAAACATAAAATTAATAACATCGCATTACCCCGTCTTATCTCATTGAATTCAAAAGCTTCGTTCCTAAAAAAACTTTGTTCCTCAAGAATTTCATTTCTTTGAAGGATCTTCTAAAAAAAATTTTCTTCTGAACGGTATTTCTTTCCTCAATACTATTTTCTTTCGGAAATTAGTATTTTTTCGAACGGAGTTTCTTTCCTCAATACTAATTTTTCGTTCCTCGCATGCGGAATTTCGTTTCTATAAATCTGGATCTTGTTCCTTAGCCGCAATAAATCATTCCTCTTGCTTACCTTCAATATTTCAATTATTATAATTATTATTGTTATTATTGTTTTTATTAATATTATTGTTATTTTCGTTATTATGATTATTATTATTATAATCACTACTATTACTTTATTGTTCCTACTTGTATTATAATCATTGTTATTATATCAACCTTATAACTATAATATACTTTAAAAAGAAGATAAACTTTCATTTTTCATAACATAATTATAACATTCTAAGTACTCTTCATTTTATATTTTTACTATTGACATACATCGACAGACAAAAAGGTAAACAGGCTAGGAGTGTTATTCATCGATTGACCAATTAGAAAAGTATGCAATTAACTCTGGTACATACACTTCTTTGAGAAAGCAGTAAAAAAATTTAAAAAATAACAAATATGATGTTTTAAACATTTTCCTGTCTAAAAAGTTAAAAAAAAGTTTATAAAAATACAAGTATTACATTGAGCTAAAAAAACTTTATGGAAAATATTATTCATAAACTATGTTATTCATAAACTAAAATGTTATTCATAAACTAAAAATCAGCAGAACACAATTAAAAACATGTTTTTCTTAAAAGTATTAACAAATTCCACATATGTGTGTAATACCACTTAGAAAAAAATTTTAATGTCTTTTATACTTATAATGATTAAAGAAAAATTTATTTATTGTTTCACGGAAATCAGCTTTTAGTATAATGACAATTTTTTCAACTTGATTATATTTAACAATGATAATTTGTCTTATAGTTTAATAATATGAAGAACGGCGCTGCTGTAAATTAATTGTTGCGTTTATAGTGTTTGCAAGAACAGGTAACTATTTAAAAAGAAAACAGAATAGTTTCTATTTTATAGGCAAACAATATGTTAATTGAAAAAAATATAAATTGTAAAAAAAAAACTTTATTTAAAACAGGTCTCGTTTTACATTAATAAGACTTATTTGCTAAATTTTTTATTGCTCTAGTTAAAGAACAAAAATGTCAACTGAAAACATCGATATATCTACAATTTATAACGAAAATAAACTCAACGAAAAAATAGATGCAAAAGAAATATTCGACAAACTTAGAGAAGAATTTGATATTGAAACAACCAACAAAAAAAGTGAAAAGGGATGTGAAAACAAAAAAGTTGAAATAATTGTTTGTGGTCCAAAGGGAAATGAAATCAACTCTTATAAAGTCATTATTTGGGCAAGTTATGGATACTTCCTCTAATCAATATATAAGCACTCGCGTTGGTACATCTTATAAATTTGTTAATGATAATGTTATTATTTGGGATCCAAAGGAACTTAACAAATGGAGCAAGATTTCCATAGATGACTTTTGGAAAGAATGTTTTCAGTATACAACAGATTTGCTATCTTTTTGTCTTTTTTGCGTAGGAACAGGGGCTAATGCAGATACAAGCCTAATAAAGTACATGTTCGACAAATATGTTTTTAAAAACAATATACCGTTGTTCTGGGTTATCACAAAAGCGGACCAAGCTGATATTAGTCAAACAAATGCGTTTGTTAACGAAGGAGTTAAACTACTTTGTGACGTCATTAAAGTTATTCAACCAACTATAGCATGGAAAACAGTAAAGAGTTTTATTTTTCGAATAAACTCAATAAAATCTTGTATAAACATTCCTAACCAACCAGAAACAAAAATTAAAAAGTTTGAAATAAAAACTTTGAATAACATTTTTGCGGAATACATACCTATGTCTTTACAGCAAAATTTAATGCAACTACTCTGCATAATATTGGAAGTAGGGTTAGGATTATTGTTATTGTTTTTGTAAAAATTTGATACAATAACAATTACAATACAATAGTATTGTATTGTAATACCAGAGATGCAATTAAAACATTATTTATGGTTATTGTATTGCTGTGAATAAAAACAGTTACAATAGCTATTGCATTGTTTTTTTTTTCTAACAATACATTGAAGCCCTAAAACTATTGTATTGTATTGCTGTGATGCAAAACAATCACAATAACTATTGTATTGTATTGCTGGGATAAAAACAATTACAAAAAGTACTGTGGTGTATTTTATAGTATTTAGATTTTTTTTTACGCATTTATTATTATTTGGGCACTAGATAATTTAGCGGTGCCCGTGACGTTCGTTTTCAGCATTCATATGTATAAATTTTATTTATTTTGAGAAGTGAAGTGAAGCCAGGAAAGCCAAAGAAGTATATACATTATGTATACTTAATAAATATTAGGTTTAGGGGCGCACGTGGCACCCGTTTCTAGCAACCATTTACATATATAAACTTTATTTATTTTGAGTTCAATAATATAACTGTTTAAATAATATTTTGTTTTGAATTAACATTAAAATAATAATCAAAATCATTCAAATATATATAATTTATTATTTGCTTGTAATTAAATAATTATTTACTCAAAGAAGTGAAAATTTATATATTTTTGTAATTTTGTCTAAACTGATATTGACATGCTTTACCGGATGATGACGTCTAAACTAATTGATTAACTACTGTTGTGAAACCGTAATAAATAAGTCTATATTACATATTTTCGGCTTTTATCAAATATTAAATCAAACACAATTCAAGATATACAAAACAGATTTTATAACACATCAATTAAATATAATTAGAATAACTTAAGTTCATTCAACCGTATTCTATAATGACGTGGTTGGCGTCAAATAGTTCTTAAGAATATAACAACTACATTCAGCGCGTGAAAATAATTTTTTTTAATATATCTAATCGCTAATGTGTAATCTATTACATCGTTAGTGAATCAGAGAACCATTGCCCTGGGTAATTATTGATTAGATTGTTTAAAAATATGAACTACTTTTGTTTTGTTTAAAATTTTTTTACATTTTCAGATTGCTCATCAACTATCAGACCTTACCAGTAAATATTGTCTGGATCATTTTTGAAAAATGAGGCAGTTTAGAACACCAAATAAATATTGTTTTTGATTTATATAACATAACTCTTTTATAACTTTGTAACTAAATGTCCTGTTACTTTATGAAACACATACAGCCATAAAGCCGAAAGAAAACAAAAGTTATATTAGAGTAAGTGTGAGTTAAGTAAATTTTGAAACAATTAGATAGATGCAAAATGTAAAAGCAAATAACTTAGTGAAAGAAATGGTAGCAATTAATCATGTCTATCCCCAGCAAGAAATACAGGCCCGAATAAACTCACTTTTATAGACCTATATAAAGTTTCCAATGAGGACAAGTGAGATTCAAAAAATAAAAAAGAAACAGAATCAATACTTATAAATTAGTTGTACCCTATTTCAAGGTTACTTATCTCGGAGACTGAATTGTTAAAACAATTATTAAATTTTGACACTGACATTATTTTTTTTAATATAATAACAATATATTGTTATTGTATAAAAAAGATGGATTGCAATACAATATTTATTGTTAATGTAGTGGGTCATTACAATACATTTTTTTTTCAGATATTGTTATTGCTTTATAAAGATGAATTGCAATACAATATTTATTGTTATTGTATTACAGTATTACAATAATTGTAAATCACAAGCATTGTTATTGTTTCTAAATTAAGTTAATACAATAGCAATAGTTATTGTTACTGTTATTTTTTTTTATTACAAATAAAATAGTCCTAACCTTAATTGGAAGGACTCGGACTTTTTTAACGGATAAGGCACAAGGTATTGTAGAAATAATGTATAACTGTTTCTCATTGTAGATATAATGTATAAATACGCTGTAGATATAATACACAAATGTACACTAGGCAGGTCTGTTTTTAGGGGTTGAAAAAACTACAATTTTGCCAATTTATTTTCCCATTCTATGTTGCCATAAAAGACTTTTCCTGAGAAATTTTTTGAAAAATTTTAAATTCTCTGTCCTCCCTAGGAGTTTCAATATTTCATATTTATTACATTTTTTAGAGAATTTTTTTTTTTTAGTTTGCACCGCCGGACCTATGCGGAGTTATAATCCCAGCGCGCAATAATAAATTTTATGAAACTGCGCTGCGTTAGTAACTTTTTAAATTTAAAATGGCAATATCAACACGTTCAAATACTGAAATATTTTTATTAGGACAAACCCACGAAATTGATTGCAGAACTTTTGCCTACAAAAGGCGACGTTTTAAGAAATTTTTATCACTGCTGCAGATTACTGAATTTCAAAAAAAAAAAAAAAAAGACACACCGAAATTATTTCCTGCCCTCTAGATATAAATCACAAGCTACTATGTAATGATAAAATATGTCAGCCCATATGTTTTGTTTCTGCTCTTAGAAAACCGTGGCTTATGGGTGTTATACCACACATTAGTTGCAGAAGTGTTAGGTAACTATTGATTTAAATAATGTTTATAGTTTATTTCGTAATTATTTATAATTATTGATATAAAAATTTAAGCTGACAAATGACAAATAAAAATTTATTAAATTATTTCAGGGAAAATGTTTCCAAATTTTATAAATCATCACAAGAAACTAGTACCATATCGTTCAAAAAAATACGGAAACACAAAAGCTCTATGAAAATAATTTTTTGGCATTAGAAAAAGAATTGTTTGACATAGGGCACCCAAAACTTTATGAAATAATTGAAAAAGATAGAATTCGATCAAAAGATGCAAAAAAATGCGATATTTTATTTTATGAAGATCAAAAAACTGCAAGAACAATGATAATTGAAAAAATAGACAAAAAATATCAAAAAGTTTATTCCAACAGAAAGTTTTGCAAAAGGAAAGCCAAGGAGTTAGAGCAAAAGGAGGCCGCAAAAATCTCAAAGTTAAAACAATTTTCATCAAATAGTAATTGTATTAATAAAAATCAAGATTTATTTTTGTTAAAAAATTTTGATAATGAAGAATTTCAATATAATAATTATGATGAAATTAAAACAAAATAAAGTGACAGTAACAGTAGATATTGATGAACTTATTAAAAAAACTTCAACATTTTGTGGGCGTTTTGGAGTTTCTGTTGGAGTACAGACAGGATTATCAGCATTATTTTTAAGATGTGGAAATATCAATCTTAATGAAGTAAAACTTTCAAAAACAAAAGTAGAAAAAATAAAAAAAGATTTGTATGTAAGTGAATCAGAGTTAATTAAGGAAAAAAGAAAAGAAAAATGTAAAAATAGTAATTTAATTTTGCACATTGATACAAAAAAAGTTACAACTTTAAATGAAGACTATATTTCTGAAGTAAGCGAACGTTTAGCTATTGTTGTTACAAGTCCAGACTGGGATTTAAATACAAATGGAAAACAACAGGATAAGCTGCTAGGCATAGTTGAATGTCAATCGGGGAAAGGATATGATCAAGCATTGGCATGTTTTAATGTTATAAAAAAGTTTGGAATTGAAAGCATTATAGTTGGGATTTGTGTTGACACAACAGCATGTAACACTGGTTGTAAAAAGGGTTGTATAAGTATTTTGGAAGAACTTTTAAATCGACCTCTGTTAAGACTTCTTTGTAGAAAACATTAACAAGAAAGACATATTTTACATGCAATAAATGCGATCACTAAAACAGAAAGTAAAGGTCGATCAAAATCTATTTATACAAGAATCAAAGCTGCTTGGCCAATGCATTATGAAAACGTTCAAAATAATATGGATCAGTTATCAAAGTTTCCGTGGTGCGAAGTTAGTGGAACCCCATTAGAAGATATGGCTAAAAAAAGTATATCTTTTTGCAAAAAAGCTTTAGAACTTAATACTTTTCCCACAAATGATTATAAACATCTGTGTCAATATGTCATTGTTTTTCTGGAAGGAAGGGAGGCAGTTCCTAAATTTATTATACACAAACCAACTGCTGAACATGAAGCTAGATTTATGGCAGACGCTTTATACATTTTGGCAATGAAGCTTACTCAACGAATCATAAAGTTTTTAACCCTAGAGGAAGAAATAGTATTTTCAAAGGCTGCGATATATGTAGCTTCAGTTCATGCAAAAAACTTTCTTCAATCAAGTCAAATTGTTTCTGCTGCTCATAATGATTTGTGTACAGTTAAAGAGATGATAAAAATAAAAGATTTTGATGCTGATGTTTCTCAAGCTTTTATTTCAAGCTATCTTAGGCACAGTTATTATCTTTCTGAAAAAACGGTTGTCTTTTGTTTATTTGAAAAAAGTCTTGACAACAAAATTAAAGAAAAAGTCGCTCAGCAGTTGTTAAAAACAAATTTACCTGAAATTTTTAAACTTAAAAAGTTTAAGCCTGTAGAAATAAATGAACATTCAGAACTTAATGATTTCGTTGGTCGAAATTCTTGGCTAATTTTTAATATAGTTCCTTACTTATCACAGTGGTTAGAAAGTTCACCTGATTTGTGGACTTATGATTCTGATTTTAAAAATTCGCAAAAGTTTATAAAAAGATTAGTCTGTGTCAATGACTGTTGCAAAAGAGCTATTAAATTGGTAAAAGACTTTATCGATTCAACAATTAAAGAGGAGAAGTTACAAGATATTTTACTGGTTTTAAAGGAACACAAAGTTAATATTCCATTTTATAAATGTAACTGGTCCAAATAAATACTTAATAAATTGTAAGAAAAGTTTAACTTTTTATAAGAAAAATACAACGGAGTTTTTTATGTATATTATTTACAAAACGTATTTGTAAAACCTTTAGTCAAAGTCTCATACATTTTTAACAACTTTTATTTTTTATCTTTATTAAGTTCAATATTCGGATTCCTTATTAAACAAACTTTTATAATGCAAGTTTTATTAAGTGTTTTAATCAATATTTAAGAGCATTTAGATAAATATAGAATTAAAACATAGTAAAAACCAGGTCTTTAAAAGAAACCGGGTTATATTTCAAAATGTGTT